CGCTGGAAAACTTTCGCCTACTTGGAATGGAAGGGCGTTGAGTACCTGAAGAAGACGGAATATCTAAGTGTGTCACCTGACCTAAACCCCCTCAATTACCGGGTTCGGGCGGAGCTCAACAGGGTGGTCTACAGTGGCGGAGAAATCAACGACCTCGCTGAACTCAGGCACCGAATCACGGTCGCGTGGCAGAATCTCTCGATGGCGTTCGTCCAGAAGGCTGTGGCGGAGTATCATGATAGCGTACAATGTGCTGTTGAATATGGTGGTGGAAATGCCCGATCAGAACTTGATAAAGTGTGACTTACATCGCTTTGAAGGTCGAGGAAGAAAAGTGTCTTTTTTGCCCCTCCCCTGTATACATGCCGATTTCCCAATTTCTGCTACTGTAGGCTCTATCCCTCGCGATCGCCTACTCTTGCCCCATCTCTAAGCGTTTCTGCGTTACTGCATCCCTATTCTCTACATGCTCTAGAGCAAGGGATTCTCTGTCGAAATATGTAGAACGCACTGGCTAATTATTTTATCCTCAATGCAGATATCCAAGTTAGAATAAAAGGTCAACTGACCAGGGGCCAACCCAATACTTTTCTAACAAGAAATTGTTAAAAAGCAATATCGTGATGGCTAATTCCAAAGTAACGCATGAACTTGAATCATATAAGAAACGTAGCAATTATGCAAGAGCGGAAACATTTCAGAAGAGAGCCGATTCGAAAGGAAACAGTTTACCGATGTCAGTATGGCTGAGAGCAGCTGCGCCATGGAGACCGTCTTTACGTTGCCGGTGATTTTTTCTCTTTTTGTTTTCCTTCTTTTCTCATTTTCTTGATCATCATAGCAGCTCATTGCAAGAAAGAGCTAGTCAGACATTAGGAGAAAGCAGCGAGCTGCTGCCGTGGTTATCCTAGTAAAAACTCTGATCACCTTAAAAATCCTTGAGGAACTTTATCAGCCTTGAGCGGAGGAATGAATTCAGGAAGACGACGAAAAAGGAAGAGCTTTCATGAAGCAGATGCCCTCATTAACATCGAGTCTCAGTGAAAGGAATTAAATCCAAGTGTTCGGTTGGGGGCGAGTTTGATTGCGGAGAGCGATCTACAGTCATGATCCCTGTAAACGACAGGGCGTACGAGGCGGCGCGTATTGGAGCGCAGATAGGGCGGCCTTGTTCCAACAATGATGTCAACCTGATCACTCTACAGATGGTGATAAATCTTCCACGGCTGCACTCCTACTGCGCCCTCGTTCTTTTAGGAATTATGGCTGCAGAAATCGGACATATAGACAGGTGTAGAATTTTGCTACCTTTGGAGTTTTTGCTGTAGTGCATAGCCCCACCTGTTGTCCTTTTTCGGGAAGTGTGCTAAAGGGGAACGAAATGTGAGAGTAGATAGATTAGAGGGCATTTATTATCAAAAAGGGTCCTCTAGGGGGTAGCGGTTGGGGAAAGGGCGAACGGTACTTGCGAGTTGTGCAATTTTTCTTTCATGCAGAGGTAAACTCCATCTTGTTTAGGCGGCGTTAATTCGACCACCTTGCTTATCTCTCATCGACGTACCCACTTCTCTTTGGCATTTTATGATTAGAAGGAAAGAGGAGCCACCAATGATAAGCTCACGATGGTTCGAGTGACTCCGCCCATGTTATCTGAGTGAAATGAGCCTATGAAACATATTTTATGAAAGACTTTGGGTTCCTTTTGAAGTCTCACAATGTCTGTGAAATTTTAAATATGACAGCGATCTATATGAAACTTATTCAGTACGCCAATGCACGAGTATTCATCGATAAAGTCTACCCATCAAGTGAATCGCGGACTCAGATGCGTGCGAATGTCGCCAAGGTCGCCTCGAGCATTCTTATAGGTCCGCTTTAATGAGATAATAACTCGAATGACGGTGATGAAGGTACAAAATAAATTGTTGTAGGATTCCGGTCAATGCTCGACCAGCTCGACTGGATGACGGCTGCCTCGAAGAAGGGCGCCTATAGCAAGATCGACAACCTCGTGAAAAATATCGGCTATCCAGACTGGATCACAGACGACACCCAGTTGACCGCCTACCATCAGGTGAACTGATAACCGTCTCCGGTAGTAGTAGGGTAAAGTGCATAGAACGTAGTATGATTGTTAAGGAAGTCTTTTGTAGATATGGTCTTCCTTTGTTATCCATAATAATTTTTTTTCACAGAACCTTGGCATTCAAGTGAACAAGGACGACTACCTTACGATGTTCACGAAAGCTCAAACCTTCAACATCTACACATCGTGGGATGCTCTCCTCGCTGGAGCGGCCAATCGAATCGATTTCAACGGACCACCAGGAACAACGAATGCTTGGTATCAGGTGAGGAGCAAAGTGATAGGTATCTGAACGTCAGCGTCAGTAGAATTACGCAACATTTACAGCCTGAGCTGAATTCCATCACTTTTCCTGCAGCCATCCTTCATCGGCCATTCTATGATCCTACTTGGCCAACGGCAGTCAATTTCGGAGGACTCGGAGTAGTTGCTGGTAAGTCTGCTTGTATAGGTCATAGCTGACGTACAGATGATCAAGAGCGCTTTAGTTAAAGGCAATTGGTCACGATAAATCCTTAGGACGTGTGATATTGATACGCCTTGCAGAACAGATTTCGGCGAAGCAGGCGCAGAGTGGCATCCTTTCTAATGACGGGTACCATTACAGCGCCTGATCAAGCTGCAACATACCGATTC